CGAAATCCTGACTACGGGCCTGATCATCATGATAAAGGAAAGCAGAAGAAAACAGAAAGAAACTTCTGCCAGTTGTGGAAACTATTGTCCTTTGTGGCCAACAAGAGCTGGCTTTTTTTTTGTAGTAACCAAAAACACCTCTTTCATCAGCCCTTCAGCTTAATAAAACATTACAAAGAGTAGATATAGACATTTTTAGTAGTCTGCAAAACATTAAAAATCTCTTAGAAAAAATCAGAGAGATGCACACAGAATCTGTGAAAGAATTACAGGAGATCTTTGAAGCAGCAAGCTCAGTGGTGGAGTCTATGGGTAGAGAAGTTAGGATTCCTTGCATCTGTTCAAGGCAGATTTGTAAAAACAATATCCAGGCAACTTCACCAACACCAATGGGAAGTTATAGGCTGAATGTGTACATTCCATTTCTGGACCTTTTTCTGCAGCTTCAGGAAAGGTTTACAAGGCACAAGGGATGTAGTTTAGGAACTGCGAGTGTTCCTACCTATTAATTGTGACCATTTCAAATCCAACTTGAACAAGTGCACAAAACTTTACAATGGATTTTTTTGGTCATGTCAGGAGCAACTTGAGAAACTGCGAGTTGCTTCTGGTGTGAGAGAATTGGCTGTGTGCAAGGATGTTGCCCAGGAGATTCCTGGATGTTTTATCATCCTTGTGCGATGCTTCTCTCATGTCCCCATATGAGGAGCTGGAGTTGACAGAGGGAGCTCATCCACGCTCTCCCTGGATTCGAACCTGCGACCTGTTGGTCTTCAGTCCTGCTGCACAGGGGTTTAATCCACAGTGCCACCGCGGGCTACAATGGATGTCTTCAAGATATTGACACACTAATGGAAGAATTTGATTTGTGGTGTAGAAAATGGAAGAAGATTGCACCTGCAGAAAAACCATAAAATGCATAGGGAGCATATCTTGTCTGTGACGGACAGTTTTTTCTGAAAATGAAGAACTTTCTTCAGATTTCTGCAAATTGCCAGTGTCAACAGCTACAAATGAAAGGTTGTTTCCAACTCTTAAACATTTGAAAACATACATAAGAAGCACAATGGGGCAAGAAAGACTGGTTGGACTTGCACTCTTTAGTGTCCACCAAAGTTTATTGATGGGGCTTGATTTCTGTCAAAATGTATTGACACAGTTTTCAAGTGTTTCTAACAGATGTTGTGGTATTCTTTTGTAACCATGAATTACCAATTAAAAGTCATTTTCACCTCACTACCTCTGAGGATGCAGGCGAAACATCAGGAGAGAATGCCTCTAGACTATGGCCATATAGCCCAAAAAAACCTACAACAACCTAGTCATTTTCAGGTTTTTTAAGACTTGAAACTTTGTAACTGAAATAGAAATTTTATTTAATGAAGTCTATATTAAATATAGAATGAATCATGTAATTTAAATTGTTTTGTGTTATGGACCTACTCATGATTCGCTAAAAAGTTTACACCCCTCCCCCATTTTTTTCTGGCTGGAAGGACACCTAACTGCTTTCAAATCATTTTTAAAAACCACATATTTATTGGGGGGGGGGTATATTTCTTGTAGTAGGCTTGTTATGTGATTTATGAAAGTATAAACAACACAACAGAGAGTTGAATATAATGCATTTATTAATCAAATGAATATGCCATCTTTCCACTAAAAAGCTCTAAAAGCACATGTAGACATTATTCAATTTTATCATTGCAACCTTCTAGCAAGACAGACAGGCTAAAAGTGACCTTATGGGTGAAATGATTACTTCAAGAAATAATAAACAGAGGTTTTAAACCAACACCACTGCACGGCACTACTTTTAACCCCAACCAAAGTTAGGGGACAAAGGAAAATTGGCAAACAAACAAATGCTTCTCTTCACAGGATGCTGCATGCCACTTGCCATCTTTGTCCATTGTTACACAGTTCTTTGTTCCATCAGCATTGTTTGGCTCGCCAGGGGCCCAGTTTGCAGCATTTTCTGAATCTTGGCCTGCAATGAAGGTAAGCTTGTTGCGCCGCTCTAAGACATTCTGCAGGGCTTTCCACTCCCCTTCTTTCTTTGGAGATGGAATATGACCCCCGGCTTGGGTACAAGTGGCACTTGCTTCCTCAAAGTTCCCTTCTTGTTCATTGGTGGTATATAATTTTTCACTGCCTGTTGCAAAAGACCGAGCTGGAAATACAAAAATACACATGGTCAGTTGTTTTATAAACTTTCTTGTTAAAACCTGGGAAAGTTCATTTGTTCACACAGTAGTAGAGACAGCTTTAGTTTCAGTGCAGAAAATTTTGTTTTCTGAACAAAAGTATAACTTTTGCACATGGATATATTTCACTGATATGGAAAATATAAGAAAATATAAAGAGCTGATAAAATATAAGCGATAGTCAACCAGGTGCCCACTGATGATTAATACATTATCTTGTGCTCATCAGCATTGCATAACACTGGCATATAAAATCCAGATTATCTGTTTTGAGCTGGATTATATGGCAATGTAGACTCATATAATCCAGTTCAAATCAGAAAATGTGGATTATCTGATTTGATAATCTGGATTACATGGCAGAGTAAATCTGGCCATAGAGGGAGACTGTATCTGATACAAAAATGAATCCATCATTATTAGCAGCCATTGATAATCCCATTTTCCATGAATAAAATGGGATTATCAATGCCATTTTAAAGCAGTCTAAATTTGCAAACACTGTCATTTTTATGTTAGGAAATTCTATAGTTTAACTATGATCTATATAAAGAAATAATTTTATCTGTTCCGAATCTTTCTTGAGACAAAAAAGAGGGTCTTCTTCTCCAGAGGTACAACATTTGGAAGCTATTAGCATAAAAGTGAAATTATACATTTTCTGGGATTTTTTTTCATGAGCAAGAAACCTCTGCGAGTTATTAATATAAATAGTATACTATATCTTTGTTAAAGCTAAAATGATATGCGCAATTCAACACTGGCTTATCAGCTTTTCTGAATGATGGTAAGTGAATATTAAGATAGGATTCTACACATTTTTTTGGGGGGGGGAGTTGTGGGGTATTTTCAGTTGTCTTACCGTGGTGTACTGTGTAAAAATTGTTCCCAAATTCAGTTACTTTTTTATCCAGATTATTCAGGTCTTCTCTGATGYGGTTCAGATCTGTAAAGGAAAACACTATAATTCTCATTGGGCAACATCTCTAGGTTCTGGAGACCTCCAGTAATTAATTCAGTGTCAGTACGAGAATTTTACTATCTGAGGCATGGCAATATGTGACTCCATGCATCCACTCAAGTTGAAGATCCATTGTGCCCAAAGTCAGTAGTCTAGACTTGAAATGCTAGACTATAACTCTGTATGTGAGGGTTTTTGTTTTTCTTCTGATGTGGCCTTAAAACATTTGAGTCCCAGCTAATGGTCTGAGATGATATTGATGCAATCTGAAACCAGATTTCTCATTCTCATCTACAGTTTTTGAGAAATTGGTTCCAGGCAGAGGTTTGGACCATTTGGCTTGGGATGGCATGAAATAAATCTGTTGCATATGGACATTGGAAAAAAATGTATATCTTTCAGAATCCACCATCCACCATGGCCACTAGCTATACTGGCTGAACGATTCTGGGAGTCATAGTCCAAAAAGTAAAAACTCTAAGCTCTTGCTATAATCCAACTTACCCCTCACCCCCTTAGCTCATATATGGACATACCATCAATTATATCATTCATTCCAAGAAGCGGATTGGCCAGGCATGTTCCCAGAAGAAGAACACTGAGCATTAGAAATGGAAACATCTTGCAATGTGTCTGACCTGAAAATACAAGCAAAGGATATCTTTCCACATTCAACTTGCATGTTTTTATGTAGAGCTACAGCTTATTTGTAGAGTTCTTACCAGATTAATATTATGAATTCCTAATGTTCAGGAATGACTAATAGCTATGACCTTCACTTGCTAGGCACTGCTATTAGGCCTGGGTAACAATGGAAAAATTTGTTTCTAAAATCGATTCGTTTTTTGGGGGTTTTTGCGTTTCGTTATTTAAAATAATTACAAAATTTTCCTTTTAAAAAGTTCGATATTTACGAAATTTCGTAAATGTGAAAAAAATTACAAAACATTAACGAATCGATTTCCGAAACAATAACGAATCGATTCGTTAATGGCGGACGCGACCGCGAAATACGCTTAAAAACCTCCAAAAACTTCTGAAGCTTCCCTCTCCCTCTGTTGTTGACTGTTGGTGTGATATTATAATTTTTTTTCACTAATTAAACAAAAAACTTGCCCCAGACATGCGGAAATAATAACGAAACGACCTCAGAACAATAACGAAACAAATACAATAACAAAATACGAAGCATTTACAAAACGTGTTTAAAAATTCGTTTTTTTAAAAAATTGCTCCAGAATGGTTCGTTATCGTTTTGTAATTGAAAAAATTAACGAATTATTAACGAATTACGAATTAACGAAACAAAACCGCCCAGCCCTAACTGCTATGCCTCTTCCCACAAACAGAAGGCAGGCTTCAGAGTTTTTGAGATCCGTTTTTTTTAACTCTTTAAAAAAGCCTGCATAGGGTTGTAGATGTATGTAACTTTAAGTCATCTATTGACCTATTACAAGCACATTAATTTTATTAAGTTTTTTAGAACAAGGAATACTCTATTTTTAACATTCCCTCCTCTGAAATATAGGCTATGCTGGCATCTGTTACTTGCAGGAGGCTTTCCTTTTAGATGACTTTGCTTAGCTTCCAAGATCCGTGCCTTTAGGGTGTTTAGGATCAGTCTCACTATAGCAAAGTGTGGCATTTCACAATGGACTAACAAATTAAAATATCAAACAACTAAGTTAACAAAAGTAATAACCATACAACTCATTCTATTGTTATCATTGAAAAATACAATATATAAACTAAATTCTATCTAGAATGCATTTTCTAAGCAATGAAGCTCCTGATTAAATGACAGAAACAGCAAAATATAATAAAATTGCAATCACTTACAAACTCTGAGAATTCTGGTGCACTAGATGAGCTTCACCGAAACTAATTTTTCCAGCATTTAGCTGTTATTTTATATAGAAAATGTGGATTGAGCAACTGAATACAATTGTGCAAAAAAGTATCTTCCTTGTGGTACATGACAGTTGTTTATTTAAGAAGGGTTTGGACCTTCAGCCATTATTATACATTGTGAAACTCTGACACATTTCCAGCAATAACAAACTCAAAAAGATGAGGAAACAAAACTAGGAAAATGCTGGGCATTAATTTACCTGCAGATTGCTCAATGCAGTGCAGTACAATCCAGTTTTTATTTCTGTACAAAAATGATCCTTTCTATGGTCTACAGAAGAAACACAGAATTTCACAACCTGGGCCGAGAGCCAGGGTCACTGAGTGTTCACAGAAAGGAACTGCTTTGAAAATGTCCCATCATACAGATTTCACAGCAAAGGCCCTATCCACTTTGGCAAAAAAAACCCCAAACTTCATGAATAGTGCTGGTAGAACATATGGCATTCCCGGTGATACAATATTTGAGGGGTTTAAATTACTTTTTAAAACTCCCATTTTATTCTTTAGTTTCCAAGAAAAAAATATTTATCTTGTTTGTTTGTTACATGCAACAAGACTGATATGCGGTTCCTTAGTTGGAAGAGGTTCTTTCCCTCTGAGCATATTTCTTACTTTTATACAGCAAAGGTAGGGATAATCTTCAATTATTGATTTTTTGATATAGAAGAGTGTTAATAAAAGTAGAAAGATAGAAAAAAAGTGATACTTAAAGGGACTAATAAATAAGAAATTAAAATCAACAGGCAACGAGTGGGAGGCTTGTAGATTAATTCAGTAGGTGTTTGTTTAGAACAGGCATAATATAATAATAATAATAATAATAATAATTATTATTATTATTATTATTATACCCCGCTAACATCTCCCGAAGTACTCGGTGTGGCTTACAAGAGGCCGAGGCCTAACACATCAATAAAACAACAGCATAACAAATACAACAATAAATAAACTTATAAAACAAGCAATAAACATTAAACAATAGCAATAAACATTAGAAAACAACACCATGACACATTTAAAACTAAGGCCGGGCCAAATGTAATGATTAAA